CATCTCATCTCATGCAAATTCACCCTACCCTCGCAGGGTTGAAGACCCTCATTCCAAACCCAGACTGAGACAGTTTAGCTCACAGTCTTCACTCAACTTTGGTAGTTCTTCATCAAATAGTTCTCCTCAACCTCTCCAATTTACGATCGCACCCCTTCCCGGTCACGATCAGTATGCACCCGCACCCTTTCAACCTCCCAGTACGCCTCAGATTCCAACCAATCCATCTGGCTCCTCCGTTACAAATTCAGCCACCAAGAAGCGTGGGTTTTTCGGTATGCTGCGTCGAAAGGCTAGTCGTGGTGATATCAACGCATCTGAGGATTTGTCCTTCGCCACCAGGAGCTTTCCCGAGGAACTCAATTTCCCTTCTTCCAAAATCAAAGATCTTACCGGTGCCACTGACCAAGAGTGGCAGGCCCAGCAACAACAGCAACAGCAACCCTCAGCCGCACCCACAGCATCAAGTACAACATCAAAAAAGCAGCGCATCAGAAAGCTTACAGGTGGTAGTGGTCTTAGTTCGAAAGAGAAAACTCTCAAAGCAGAACAAAATAATCAACAAAATCAAATCAGTTCCTTGGGGTCGACCAGCACTCTCACTCAATCAAATAGATTGATGCCCGCCAATCAGGGCGAAGTGATCACGCTCGATACCAACTTGGATGAAATGGATGGAATTATAAATCGAGATCATGCCGCTTTGCAAGTACGACGGACAAGCAGCTTCAGTGGGGCTCCCAGTTTTCTCAGCAGCCCATCTCACCCAAACAATTCTGACGTTCAAGGCACAGGTGGTGGTACGTTATTCGCAGATCCCTTCAACCCCGGAAGAACCCTTGGCTCCCCCAACTGCGTACACCGCAACGCAGGATTCCAGGAATCCGGAGCTGGATCAATTTCAGGGCCATCGGATCCTTCAATGCATAACTACCCCAGTCTACCACTATCCCATCGCTCAAATCGCAGCTTTGGAGGCGCCAGTGCCCGTGATTTCAACACCGGTGATACTCGACGACGGGGAAGTCAGAATAGTCAACAAAGTCTGACTGCCAACAATCTTCAAACAAATATGAACGATCTTGACGGTGGTCTGAGCGCACCTGCCGTAAATCGTTCCCTGTTCCCTGCCACACCTCTGGGTCCAAATTCACCCTCTCGGAAACCATCTGCACATCAATATAGTAGTTCCAACCAGGTCGGGCCTAATCCAACACCTACATGCATCACCGGTCTTGGAATCGGCGCTGCTATGGTTTCGACTGCAAACGGGTCGATTTCCGGTCTTGGCGGCGGCAGGTGTGGTAGCAATACACCTTCCTTGAACAACCCTGGTGGCGCCGGTGCTGCCGCTGGTTGGACTGCCCCTGAAAGTTGGGCTGTCAACCCCATGGATGGTAACGAATCTGGCGATACGGATGCTGACGAGTCTGAAGAGGAGGATGGACTGATCGTCTCCGATTTCTATCCTCCGCACCCAGACAACCACGAAGGCGCTTCCGATCCTAACGGAGGTCCACCATTGACTGCCAGAAATATTCCACCTTACCAATCGAATGGAAGCTTTAGCGGTGCAAGCGGTACAACAGCATATTCTCTAGGTAGCCAAACCACCGGTACTTCTATTAGTGGAAGTCTCTACAGTACAACGACCATTGGTAGCAGTGGTGCAAACACCGCTTTGATGATTCCTCCCATCAATAGACTCGGTTCGATCGATGAAAGTGTCAAGTCAAGCGGATTCGGAACTCCCAATCTGAATGGAGCCAACGCGAACGCCAGTCGTCGCCCATCTGAGGCAGGTGGTATGAGTATCATGGATGGATCTGAAGGCAGTGGCCATGGAGGGCGGCCTGCTGCTGGTTCAAACATTTCAGGCTCAATCCTTAACGGTAAACTGGGAAGCGCTACTCGAGCTGGGCAAATAGATGGCTCCAAATCAGTAAGCTACAGATCTTTTTGGTCAATATTGTTAACCTTTGGACAGATCGGAAACTTCCAATAGCTCATTTTTTTACCTGTCTCATAGTGGACAATCCGGATCTCTCGGGCGGACGGATCATTTGCCACTCTTTCGTGTCCATTAATGTATACAGCTGCCGAAATTTGCCATCAACTTGGCCGGAAGTTATTCAATCAAAAGCCGCCTGCTGGTTACAAGTTGTACATGAAGGAACGTGGTCTGGGTAAGCAGGTCATTTGAGTAGATTACTAGCTCCCTCGCTTACGATTACCATAATTACATCTTCAGAACGCGTGATGGCCCCCAACGAGAAACCGCTTGTGTTTCAACGACGCAGACTCGAGCAGGCAGGATATACCATACTTGATCGCCTAGATGATGTCGGACGGCTAGATTATTCTTACCTCATGAAGTTCCTATACAAGGAAGAATCACTGACCGCAGCTGCTACCGTGCGTTCATGGCTTTACCACTGTCTTCTCTGATCGCCAAATTCACTAAACTGGACCTTTCTTCTGCTCAAAATAGGATGAAGATTTTCATGAGCATTACGAGTTCGTTGACCTACAAGCTCGAAGCATTCAGGCAATTCCGATTGTCCTCTTTAATCATGCGGCTCTATTGATTAGCTTGAATTTATCCAAGAATCCTAAATTGGATATCCCGTTGGATTTCATCCAACTATGCACATCTTTGCGAGAGTTGAAACTTTGTCACATGGCCATGAAACGAGTCCAGCCTTCGATTAGACAGTGTCATAGCTTGATGAGATTAGATATTTCTAACAATCGGATAGTCGATCTCGAACACGCACGATTAGACGACCTGACTGAACTGATGGCTTTGAAGGCACACAACAATCGACTTTGGACCTTGCCAGATTACTTTCGAGATTTCCGCTCTTTAAGCTTACTCAACATATCGAACAACAAGTTTGAATCTTTGCCGGGCGTGATTTGTCAAATCGAGTCCTTGGTCGATCTAGACATTTCATTCAACATGATCAACTCGTTGCCCAATGAAATCGGCCAGCTCAAAAACCTGGAACGTTTCGTGTTCTTGGCGAATCCGATTTCAACTATTCCCAGCACATTTAGTGGTCTGAATCAACTTCGAGAACTAGACTGTCGGCGCTGCTTGTTGGGAGATATTGCAATCTTCAGCGAATTGCCTTACCTAAAAAAACTGTTGTGCGAAAACAATGCAGCTACAATCCTGGATGGAAGGTTTAATTCGTTACAGGAGTTGAATGCGGGGCATAACTCGATAACTCGATTATTGCTAGTCGGGACCGGTCAAACCTTGGTCTCTTTGAACGTCTCATACGCCAAAATTTCGTCTCTCGGACAAGAATTCTTTGACGCGCTCGTCAGCTGTGAAAGTTTGAATCTAGACAGCAATCAGATCAAATCGTTCTCAGATTCGTTCAGTCAATTGACCAACCTCAGGAACTTTTCGATGAAAAACAATCAGCTGACATCTTTACCAGATTCGATTGGACAGCTTCAACGACTACACACGTTGGATCTCGCTAACAACAATTTGGGATCGCTGCCGAGTACAATATGGAATTGTTCGCAGTTGATCGTATTGAATGTCAGCTCAAATCTGATCCAAGAGTTTCCTATGCCCCAAGTAGCTTCATCAAATGATCCATCCAACCCGAATGCCGAAGATGGCAAACCTCAGCTGAAAGGCATGCCCTCCTTACCCACCTTGAAACCGTCAAACGGCAACTCAACGACAAACAATCGATCATTACCACCCCTGGCAAAAAGTCTACAAGAATTGTTTATGGGAGATAATGGGTTGGGAGATAACGTATTCGGTCCAATCTCTCTCTTGAGCGAACTAAGAGTGTTGAACTTGAGCTTCAATGAATTATATGAGATCCCATCCTCGACCTTATCAAAATGCGAATCATTGGAAGAATTATATTTATCTGGGAATTCATTGACCTCTTTACCTGCAGAAGACTTTGAGAATCTCTCGAATTTGAAAACATTTTTCTTGAATGGCAACAAGCTCCAGACTCTACCGGCCGAATTGGGTAAACTGAAACATTTGGAATCCTTGGATGTCTCCTCTAATCTATTGAAGTATAATGTGACCAACTGGCCCTATGACTGGAACTGGTTCGTATTCGTGTTCTTTTTAATCTGTTTGATTTGAATTGCCATTGGGTCCATTACCGTACTGATTTATCCACTCGATTGGACTGGTCATCAGGAATTGGAACTTAGATTTGCAGTACCTAAATCTTTCTGGGAACAAACGACTTGAAATCAAACCAGCAGCAGGGGGGCAGCAGGATGCAGTAGCAGCTGCCAAGCGAAAAAATCTGTCCAACTTCAACGCTCTACGTCGATTGAGAGTCCTAGGATTGATGGACGTCACTCTTACCACACCCTCAGTACCTGATGAGAGTGAAGATAGACGGGTCCGAGTCACACAATCTGAGGTCAGCTCGATGGGATATGGTATTGCGGATTCAATGGGTAGGGAGGACTATAACGTCGTTGGCTTAGATATGGTAGTCTCTAGATTTCGAAACAGGGATGACGAATCCTTATTTGGCTTATTCGACGCGCATTCCAAGACACCTTTCGGAGGTGGAAAGCTGGCGAAATTCCTACACGATAGTTTCTCGACTACCTTAGCAGGCGAACTAAGGAGACTGAAAGAGAATGAATCAGTTACTGAAGCCCTTCGAAGAGCTTTCCTAAATGTCAACCGGGATTATGGGAACATGGTCACCAGTCAATTTGATACTCGTCGGAAAGGATCAAATGTTGGTCTCCAAAGATCCGAACGTCCAAGCATAACAGCTGCCAACTGCGGTGTTGATGCCAAGTGCGGAGCATCTGCTGTGGTGATGTACGTGGCAAAGAAAACCATTTATGTCGCCAACGTCGGTGATGCTCTGGCCGTGGTTGCCAAACGAGGTGGAGTGGCGTTACCCCTAGCACATAAGCATGATCCATTCGATGCGACGGAAATCGAAAGGATTCGATCGGCCGAAGCTTGGGTATCCCAGAAAGGTCTCGTGGAAGACGAAGTAGAAGTATCAAGATCGTTTGGATACTTTCACGTCCATCCGGCTATCAATGCTCGACCTTCAATCCAAACTCTGGATGTGTCCGAAGACGATGAATTCATAATCATTGCTAATGCAGGTCTATGGTCGCACATGACCTATCAAGCAGCGGTTGACGTGGCACGGGCACAGAACAGGAAGGCGGATCCAATGAGGGCTGCACAGAAGCTCAGAGATCTTGCGCTGTCGTATGGGGCAGAGTCTAACTTGATGGTGATGGTGATTGCGCTGGGAGATTTGTTCAAGGCTAGAAGAAGGTATACTTATCGGGGCGCTGGAGGAGCACAGATAGACGACGAATTATATGGTGCAACGCGGGTCGCGACAAGGAGAGGACAGATGCTAGACGCACCCGGGGAGAAATATCTGACGTTGCTAGATCGGGAAGTTGCTCCGCCTACAGGAATGGTCGCTCTGGTCTTCACAGATATCCGTAATTCGACTTCGCTGTGGGAAACTAATCCAGGAATGCAATCGGCGATGAGGATGCACAACCAATTACTGAGGCGACAGCTTAGGGCAATTGGAGGCTACGAGGTCAAAACCGAAGGTGATGCATTTATGGTCTCCTTCCCATCGGTGACAAGTGCCCTGTTGTGGTGCTTCACAGTTCAGCTCGAACTCTTGAGGGAGGACTGGCCACAGGAAATCCTGGATGCTGAAGATGGAAAAGAGATTTACGATTCCAATGGAATGCTATGTTATCGTGGGCTATCCGTTCGAATGGGTATTCATTGGGGCAATCCTCACTGTGAAGCAGATCCTATTACTCGTCGGATGGACTACTTTGGGCCCATGGTAAACAGGTATTGTTTTTTTTTACATGTTACTCATCCATGATTATGTGGATGCTGACCCAAGCCATTGATTTTCTCTTCTTCTGTGGAACATTAGAACAGCAAGGATTAGTGGAGAAGCCAAAGGAGGAGAAATTACGGCCTCTTTGGACGTGATCGAGATCGTCAAGACATTATGCTTTGACCACACCGATGGTAAAGAAGGCAGCGATCCACTGGCACATGAAACGGATGCGATTGTGGATCCGGCGACGAGAAGAGATGTAGCCTCGATTCGCAAGATGGGCTTTGGCGTCTCTGAGATCGGAGAGAAGCGGTTGAAAGGATTGGAAATGCCCGAGTTCATCTCCCTAATCTACCCGAGATCTTTAGCCGGAAGACTCAACAATCAAGGTGCTTCACTTGGCGGGCCAGACTCTAAGGTCGATGAAGTCTATGAACCGGCTCCTAGAATGTTAGACGTGAATCACATCAGACAGTTGGCTGCGTTGGTCGTTAGACTGGAGGCTGGTAAGTTACCTATCTCCCTTAAAAGGAAATGAATTTTTATTATTCAAGATTAAGGAAGTTGATATATGTCTTTGCTAACTCGAATCCAAATTATCCTAGTTTCAGCAGCAACGGTCCACGCGCCATTAAGCTTTAGTCCTAGCTCGGGCGGTGCAACTAACAAATTAGGAGGCAGCGCCGGAGAAGCAGGAGCAACGTCGAGTGGAAGCTCGAACACACGACCGAAATCGAAGCTATTTAACGGCCATCTGTTGACGTATCCGATCAGGTTGGAGTCGACAGATGAAGAGCTAGCAGCCATCTTGGAAAACCAAGTGATCCGAATCGAAAACGTCTTGTCTAGTCTCGAACTAAGGTCCCTAGGTCCTATCTATGACGTCTTATTGGCCCTAGGCGATGCTGTCAAGATCCAACCGAACGTGCTCTTACATGCTCTTGAATCTTTTGGGCTGGCTTCGAATGCTGCTGGATTGTTTTGAAGCACCCCCCCGCGACCCTCCTTCCTTCCTTCACCCCATGTCCAATCCAATCCTTTCCTTGAAAGGGCACCAAAGCAACCGAAACTCCCAGCAACTAACCCTTCCCAAAAAATGAATAGATCTCTCTCTCTGGTTCTGTATCCCTCCCATTACTGACATGTGTTTTGACTGACTGGCTGCGCATATGTATCAGCTTATCATGTCAATAACTGAAAGAATCTATCAAATCAAAGGCTGTTTCTCCTACTTCAATAACCCCCTTATGCTTCTTCCACTATCCTCCTCCTACCAGCAACAGATTACTTACTTTTTCTCTGTTTATTTCTTTATACCATCACCTTATTATTATAGAAGATTTCGGGAAGCTTTTTTAAGTAGATAAATAAATACACATATATATTATTAATAATTATTTGATTTTTTTATCAAATTGATTTTCTCTTTATAAAGTTATAAAAAACTTATCTATCTATCTATCTTTCAATGTCTGCTATCTATACTTTTTTTAGATACCAGCTTCCCTCTTCTTCCTTTTCTATCACTCTCTCTGGTTCTTCATTTTGTATAAAACTGTGATCAATTTCTCTACTATAAATATAATCTACTTCCATATTTTCTTGTTTTATACATAATTGTTCCCATAACTCTGTCCTTTCAACCAACATTGAAAAACACAACAGTTGTAATATAAAAAAAACTAGATAGTTATTCTCAACTAATTTTATTTTCCTTCTCTTTTTTTTCAACCCTTTTTTTTTATAATATTGATTTGGACTTACCTTCAGCTTTTTTTATTTTACTAAACCAACAAGAAAGCACCACTTTGAACTTTTCAATGGGTCTTCTTTTGTATGTAAACATCTTAAATAGTGGAACAGATCAAGGAATTCAAGCAGATAAATTCTCAAAAAAGATTCAAGTTTACAATACAATACATAGCTCAAAGAGTATGTTGTGATTTCTGAGTGTTAATTTTTCCACTGAACTAAGTACTCCTTGACTTGAACACAACCCAGACTAACTATAATATAGATGGACTTGTGTCAACAGTGATACCAACAGTCTGGAAGTAGTCATCTGCTTAAAACAGTTGGCTGCTTCACTTGGGGCTATCATTGACATTGACCATCAAGATCCATTTCATGTGCAACTGTCTTCTACTTTTTTTTGTTTTAATCACACAAACAGCCTAGATCATTGGTATTTTTATTCTACTTATACCAAAAATATAGAGTAGCTTGAATGAATCAATCATAAAGGCTTGTTTTTGTTTTTTGTTTTTGTGTCTGAACCCTGCACCTACCACATCAGTCTCTGAGCACACTGTACATGGGTCTGTAAACAGCCAAAATTGTTGTTTTTTATTTCATTTTACTCATCCCAGATCCCACGAATCCTGGTATCCAATCAGATACCAGGTACTTTGAGTCTTTTCTTCAATGATGGGCCAGTTACCCTAAAGGTAGCATTAGTGCAGCAGTGTAGTAGAATTCAACCAAAATCTAGCATAGTGTAGCAGAATTCCACCAAAATCTAGCATAGTGTAGCACAATTCCACCAAAGTCTAGCATAGTGTAGCAGAGTTCCACCAAAGTCTAGCATAGTGTAGCAGAATTCTGCCCAGCCTGTACTACTGCTACACACATAGGCCCCCAAAATGTGCCTGCTATGCTGTGCTAATGTACTGGTTAGTAATAGTGGCATCTTGGGCCTGTAGATGCCATCAGCAGCTAGTAGTGTAGCAGAAAACCACTAACAGGGCTGCTTACACTACACAATTTGCACACAGAGAAAGGCCACTATGCTAACACTTTATGGGAAAAAAGTGCAGTGTAGTGTAGTAGCCCATCATTGTCATCTGTCATCTAACCCAACTGGGAATTTGGACTGGAGAGTCCGATCATAGCACCTCAACTTGGATACATGTATGATGTCAGCCTTAGAGATACTCCATAGTATCCAAAAGACTGCTAAATGAATATTAAGTATTAAAATACTCAATATGTAATATAATATGTAATAATATTATTTAATAAAACAATGTTTCATAAGATTATGAAGGGGGTTGTCCACTGGAAGAATCCCCAAATTCTCACTCCTTCAAGGAATTTGTATATATTCAAACTCTTGAAGGACAAAAGGAATAAAATATATAAAATTTATAGAATAAAATCAATGTATATTAAATTAGGGTTAAATATACATTTTAGGGGTAACCTTTAGAAATTTTTATTCTACAAGCATAATCCATTTTATTAAAAATTTGTAGAAAAGAAATTACCACACTATGTCAAGAGTGTGACACTTTCAACTAGTAAATATTC